AAACAACTGCAAGGGATCTCAGTAAAACGTTAAGCCCTGAATCTAGGAAGAAAGCCAAGCAACTAATTGTTGAATATGCAGCTAAAGAAGACCAAGGGGACAGGGGAATCCATGTTTTGGATCTTGATTCTGGCCAGTTATCCTCCCAAGAACCCTATCTTATGAATTCGGGTGAGTTTGATGGTACTTCTATTGCTAATTCTTCAACCCATAAGACTGACACTTCAAACAAAAGCACAATCTTTCGTAAGGTTATGAGAATAATACGGGCAAAGGACCATCATCATAATCATTCAGAAATGGTTCACAAGACTGAAGAGAATGCAGCAAGATGCTCTTATTATTCTTCTGGGTACTGTTCAGATATGTCTGTCGTAGATACCGGAGCTATTAGGCCCCAGAGCAGATCAAGAACACCATCTCCAGGTCCGTCCAAACAACTTGTAGCTTTCCATTCATTTGATCAAGGCTCTACAAGCAGTAAAGGAGAAAGCAGAAACTATCCGACACGTAGAAGGAGATATAGTGATGTGGGCTCACTGGACTATATATCAAAGCGTCTTGCTGAATCACCTCAAGAAAAAGGAAATAACCATGACCAAGAAAATGTTCATAAATCTGAGTTGGCGAAATATGCAGAAGCTTTGAAAGGATCTCGCTCTAAAGAAGCAGTTCGCAAGAGATCAGCATCAGTTAGTTTCTTCTAACTTCAAGAAAATATACAAGATTATGCCAGTTTTTTGTTGCCTCAACATTGTTGCCCCTCTACATCATTAGAGGTAGCCTAGGTTCTATAGTTGTTTGATCCTTGATGATGGGAATCAACTCATAGAAACATGTTATACAGTTGTTTACTGTATCTAGTCCTACAAATATTATAGCTAGTGCAGCTTCTTCCATTGAAGTTGTAGTCAGAATTTTTTTAATTAGCAAAAGGAAACAGAAGAAAAGAGTATACATGTGTGTAACATTAGATATCAATGTTTGATTTTCTATGTAGCTACTCTTTTGAGATGATTTTCTTTGTAGCTTTAGTTGCTGTTTTTTCAGGGATCTGTTCGGTACGGAGGAGAACATTTTCCAATGTTCGGTTGGTCATTTTTAGAAAATAATTTTTTCCTAAGAAATCAAGTTCCTTAAAAATGAGGTAAATGATTTTCATAGCAGTAGGGAAAATAAGTTTCAAAGGGGCACTCTACATTGATTATGTCCTTCCCATTTTTCAATACACATCATCTTCAGTCTCACCCTCCATAATCTCAATTCGCACCACTCCACATCCCTACTCCCACTCCACCTCTCGTAGTATTTGTCAAAATTATATATAGATGCTTTTATGATAATGTTTTTGAAGAGAATATTTTCCTTCCCTACAAACACATTGACCTCTTGACATGAATACTTCTTCATTGTCAAAGTAGATAGTACTATTTTAATGAATGTTTGATACTCATAATTAATTATGACTTCATGGCAAAATTGATTCTTCTTTCATGTGGATGATAAGGAGCCAACCTCCCCTATAACATCTTATGATTCAAATGTGTTGCTAAGTCAATTTCTGTTTGTAGGATCCATTAATGCAACTTGTGCCAAGTATCTTTTTACTTACGGTCTATGGCTGTCCTTGTAATATTTTGTGTATGTGTCGATTCACACTAACGCGGATTAAGGATTCATATAGCTGACTCAACTTATTTTGTATTCTTTGTGATAAAATTTAACAAATATTGATGAGGAGTTATCCGTGCTTAACTTTTAAAGATTCTTAGACATGTTTACAAGGAAGCTACAATCATCATTTTAATTAGAAAATTGTTGCTTCTCATACTCAACTTGTTTAGTCTAACACTATACCAAAAGAGAAAAATAAAATATCATCTAGATTGCTCTTTACTGCCATTTCGAATGTCCAAATTAAACACCAAATTTGTTATTTGGACAGATTTGTTTATTCAATGTGATGTAGCATGAATATCCCTTACTTATCAATAAGCTTAGAGAATATGAAAGGAAAAAATATTTAATTGAGTGCACATGCTCTAAAACTAATCTAATGCGTTGGAATTTATTTATTCTGCATACGCAATGTTGATTTTGCTTCAACTTGAGGAAGTTTAATTAAATAGGATGGATATAAGGAATAGGTTATATTCTTATTTTAATCGAAAGACTTTGATAATTAGTTGGTTAAATATCAGATGACACATCAAGAAATTTACTCAAATAAATAGGATGATAAAAAACATTTCATTTCATATCATCATTATCTTATCTTTAGTCAAATGACTTTGTATGTCCTTTTTGTCACGCCAGCTGCCACCTGAGTTTGGACATGCAATTTCATATTATAATTTGAAATTATGAGTTTAAATTAATATTTGGATATGCCATTTAAAATTATGATTTCATATATCAATTTCTTTTTTTTCTTAAAAAAAAAGAAGCAATTTGGTGTTTCAAATCACGATTTCAATAAAGAAAATTTAACTGTAAAATTTATATTTGTAAAAAAAAATCTCCATTTTAAAAATTCTCTAGAAAATAATAATAAATTCATATTTAGCGTAAAGAGATTGTTTATATCACGTGAAATGGTTATATTAAGAAATAACTAGTTATACTATTATTACTAGTGGGTCTTTATAAAATTATGTGTATTTGAAAATTTGCAGTTACGAACATTTATTCATATACAGAACACAAAAAAGGTGATTTATCAATGCAATTTCTTACTCTAACATCTTGTTTATAACTTTTAATATGCTCATATGATTGTAAAAGAGGAGAATTTTTTTATAGCATTCACAACTTATCGTCATGGGGTTTCATTTATATGAGAAACGTAAATGTGCCATATTTGTATCGCAATTTCAAACAAAATTTAATTTAGTGTCCTCTTTTTCTCTTTATTAATATATAAATTTAAGGAATCCCATAGTGTAATTCAATAATTACATTCTGTCCCGACAAGTTTAGTAATTACAAAAAATTCTTTAAA